CATTTAAATGCACAATAGAATTTAGTTTTGATTTATGCTAGAAAACAACATCAAACTAATTATTAGCACATTGACCTAGTGGATTATTTCATGAGAAAAAATTAAATATTTTTAAAATATCATCCTAATCAATTTATTTTATATTTGATTAGCTAACCTTGAAATAACGATATTAAAATACTTAAAATATTAAATATAAGAAGAAAAAAAACTAAATTATTCGAAATTTAAAGTACAACACAAGTCTTATGCACTGCGAAGGACGGCATGTTAATATTTATGAATGATATGTTAGAACATGGGAGACATGTCTTGCATTCTATGCAAAGCAGATTTTCTCTACCATTTACCCGTTTTGCCTATCAGAAGTGCAAGAATTTTCGTTGCCCATAGGATAAATTATTGATTAATAAAAATTATAAAAATATGTTTGGATCATGTAATAATTATTAAAAAAACATAATCATATAGTTAATTGATTTATATATTGATTCTCTAATCAATTTAGACATCCTAATGGATGTAGATAATTTGATTAACTCTCATTTACATCAAAACATTCTATATCACAGTCACTCAAACCTTCACTTTATAATATCATTATTAATGTGAAATAGGACCTTCGATAATTAAAGAAAATATAAAAAATAGAGTCACTCTCTAACCATTTAATTCTTTAAAGAAATTAAGAATTATAAAATATATATTTGCTCTAAATATTTGAATAAAAGATTTGTTATAATAATAAAAAAAAAAAGCAAACTCACAGCATGCTTTTCAAGAAAGAGATATCTTAAGTACCTATTTCTTTTAATTTATTTTATGTAAGTCATCTAATATCCAAATTATATTACAAGATTGTTCACAAATCATTTATTATTGATTATTGTTCATTTAGTTAACATCAAATCCTAAATTAAAAGTATCTCAATAATTTTTTTAATTATTTTATTTATTTACTTGTATTTCTTGATCTTTTATTATTATTATTTATAAAAAATAAAAACTGAATAAAATATCATACTTGATCCACGTTAGTCTCTACCTTGACGAGACTTGAAATTTATTATTGACCGTATTTTTTATTAAAAACATTACAGAAGGCCTGCATCGCTTCTTAAATCTAAGAGACATGTTAACTTAGCCATTTAAAAAATAAATGTAATCAAAACACGATGTTAATTTGATGAAAACTCATAAACTCTTTATTGAACTTGTTTTAGAATTGAAACATATATCAATCCCTAAAAAGTATGAGATACATTTACCTAGATATTAAACTCGGCTTTATAAAAAAAAACATGACTCAACTTGACAAAATAGTATTGATGTTGTTTTCATTCTTTCTTAAAAATAAATATTTACATAGACATGCATACAAAAAAAGATGAATATGTGGTTTTACAAAATAAAAATAACGTTAACATAAAAAATAAAAATTAATAATATAAAAATATATGAGTGAATAGCAACATATTTATTGTTTGCATTTGTTAATAACAAGCCATGTATAAATAAACCTACCATAAAAGAAGAAATGAGAAGGAAGAAGGATTCGACTTATCTTGAGGTTGGTTCCATATGAGGGAGGAGTTGTTCTAACAATAAAGACGGTGCTATGATGGCAGTGAATAGATTTTTGGAAGGTTTTTTTAGATTCATTTGGTTTTTTTCTTTCTCTTAAGTTTTTTATTCTCTTTTTCTTTTTTTCTTCCTTCTTTTCTCTCCAACTTCTTTTTCTTTCATTTTCTTATATTTCACCTTATGGCTCATTTCCTCATCACAAACTTTCTTTTTGTAGTTAGGCATTTTCTCTCTTTAGCCTGACTCCCCTTGTTCCTTGTTTTACCTTTTTATTTATAAGCAATGATGAAGCTTTTAAAACCTTTACTGGTGGAGTGATTGTGGTCGTTAGTTCGCATGGGTTAAACACAGTCCTCCATTATGGTTATAAAACTTTCACCAAATATTTTTGTGTTGGACCGTTTGCACTTGGTTTTGCAGTAGTTTCAGAGGGTTATTTTTTTTATTTATCTTTCTATTGAGCATATAGTACAAATACAGATAAATGAAACTGGAATGTTGTTTGATATTTTGTGGGATGCGTGGGAGAGAGAAAAGTGTGTGTAAAATGGGATAAAAAAATAAAGAGTTGTATAAATGCCATGAAGGGGATTGTTTTGTCCCATGGACCAAAATGATGTCATCTTACTTGTTTTAATGAAAACTAAGTGAAATGTACTATTTCACTTAACTTTATATATATATATATATATATGGAGCAATGTTGTTTCAAAGAGGTTCCTCAATTTGTTTTTTTTTTAATTTGTTTTTTAGATTTTTTTTGGATGAATTTCAACTTTTTTTCTCGATATTTCATTCAATTTTGTTCCAGGTTTCATTAAAATGGTCCCTCAATTTCTCTATTTTTTCCAATTCAATAATTGACTTCTCAATTTTCAATTATTTAGAGAATTTCAATATTTTTCCTTCTAATTCCATCCCTGGTTGTATTTAAAATAGTTCCTGTATATTGATGTCTTTTCTAGTTCACTCATTGATTTTTCAATTATTTATATTCAACCATTTTCTTTTAATTTTGTTTCAAATTGCATTTTTAATATTTTTTTATATTGTTTTTCTGGTTGGTTGGAATATACTTTTTTAAAAGGAAAAAATTCTTTCTTTGATTGAGATTTTTTTTATCATATTTATATATATATATAAGAGTGGTTAAAAAACAAGTTATGATAACTATTTTGAGTAGAAACTCTTTAAACCCACAAAAAGATTGAGGTCACTAAATACCCGAAAATCCATCCTTTATTTCGAGTTTTTTTTCACTCTCCTTTCTCCTTAACGAGACCATCATAGCAATTAGCCATCATTATAATGAAATAATATTTATAGTGATATTTATAGTGTGAAAATCATCTTCCTAGGTTTTATCTTGTTAGACAACAATTTATCCAGGACGCACCGAAGCAGAAGAAGTAAATTGAGGAAATTCTTGTAAATTACATTAAATTCATGAATGGTTTGGCAAGTAGAAATCATTCTAGACTGAGAACTAATGGTAAACAATTTTTTTGTTTTATTTTATTTTATTTTATTGGTGTAAAGAGGTGATGAACGCAGCTTGAGTCTCAAGAAAGAAACTCCCAAATGATCACCAAGAAGATGTGGCTATGCTTCTGTGGTCAAAGTAACACCGAAGCCATGATAAAAATAAATAAATAAATAATGTTCAAGCCACTCACATGTCTTCCCTTTCAAAAGACGTCGGATTCTCTTCCAGCTATGCTCTTCCATGTGGGATTTTATTTATTTATTTCGAATGTGAGAAAATCTCCATCTTCCCTTAATTTCTTGTTGGATTGCAATCTCTGGCTTCAGATATTCATATCTTTTGAAAGAAATATAAAAAACTTTATGCTTAATTAATTAAAAATATTTTTATCTTTAATTACTAGTAAAATTTAAAACAAAATCCAATTTAGATCTAAGCAAGTCATTAACATTATGATACTTTTACCTTTTAATCAGTGAGAGTATTAAAAATACAGTAGTGATTATTTTTTTAATATTATTGAAACAATCTAAAAATATTAAAAAAATTAAATTTTAACTAACCCCGTTAAAATGCAATACCGAATAAACAGCTAAGGGTAGAAATTCGAAATTCAAACTGAGGGCGTCTGTACAATATTTAGATTAATAGAGAAGATGGAATTAATTAGTAACATTTATTATGGGCACGAAAAGTGTTGATACGCTGCGAGACTCGTGTGACTGCATTTAAGGCTGTCGTTTTGGTAGCTTGGCAACCATCATGCCCCCCCGTGAGACTTCAATCGCTTTAGCCGCCGGTAGTAAGCTTCTTCATTAAACTTTACTTGCCTTAATATCTGATCTCGGTCTTTTTCAAATCTAAATGTACTCGTTAAAATCTTATTGATCTAATAAATTAAGATTTAATTTAATTTTTATTTTTTAAGTAAAACAACATTGTTTAAACTTGAATTTTTTTTCAAGACAACTTACTTAATAAATTCATTTAATTTATAATCTAGATCTCAAACCGAACATTTTTAGGTTTAAGAATTTTATGAGAAAATTAGGAATATAGTTGGTAATTTTACTTTAATGCATTTACACCATGTTATTATTTCATTAGCTTTGCAAAATCAATAATATGAATGATGTATACTGGCTAATTAAGTGTTAAAATAAGAATTTGAAAATCGAGGTTTAAGTCCCATCCTCCTGCAATAAATAAGAACCTTCTTGCTTCATTTTCATAGGTCATTAAATAGGTTCATGGATCCATCGGTAACCTATGGTAATTCAATATTGAAAGTGAATAACTGTTGTTTTCTAAATGATTTAAAAAAATATATATTAAAGTATTTTTTAAAAAAATTATTTTTAATATCAATATATTAAAATAATCTAAAATTTTTTTAAAAAATAAAACAAGCATGGATCAAACCCACACCAAATACAATTTATACATCACAGATGGCCTAGAATTGAATATTTGGCCGGCAACTAGTTCATTGATTTCTATCTATGCTATGGACCGCAATAAGATACTGTTTGATTAAATGGGGTTAATCAAATTTTGAAAAAAAAAAATTGTTTAAAATTATTTTATTATTAATATTTTTGGATTGTTTTAATTAATGAAAAATAATTTATTAAAAAAAATTATTTTAATATATTTTTAAATAATTTTTTTCTAAAAAACAGTTATTAGTATATGCATATATGAATACTACTTAATTATTGTGGATAAAGCCTTGTAGGTCAGCTTCTTTCTGTCTTGTGAAGTAAAATGTTAAAGAAACATTTCAAAATTCAAATGCTTGGGGCAACTTGGTAGGCACAAAAAATATTTAATGGCCCTTTCAGAAAATCAAACCAGGCATAAAATAGTAATTCCTGGTTGCTGGTTAATATTTAGAATCAAACCTACAATTACTCAATCTTTGTATTGAAAGTTGTACTGTTCTTCACATTTGCGAACAGCTTCCTCAAATTCTCAAAGTAAGCGGGCTCCAATTTCCAGAGTCCAAACACGACCTTAAGTTTTAGTTAAGAAAAGCAGGGTAAAAAAAAAACAAAAAAAAAGCTGACAACCATGACTGAAGGCAGTTTCCTATCAAGTTCTTATGTGATCTCATCTTCGCACCGTCTTGTTCTTCTGTAGCAATACACGTTCGACAAGAAACCAAGTTGGAACCCCACAAGAATCTCTCAATGATTTTATTGTGCCTTAAGTCCCAGTAAAGAAAAGAGAGAAAAACAGAACAAACAAAACCTTTGACGCTGTCTTTCTCTAGCAATGAAAGCGAATCTAAGTGAGCACACAGGCCACAAAGGCAATGCACCGACTGTATTTGTTCTCATTTTTGGATCTGAGTCTTAATTTGAATGTTCTGCAGCTTGCAGGTGAGAAATAGGAATTCACTGAAAGTGTTTATGATCAGACCTGATCACTGTCGCCTTGCCTGCAGGAGATTGTTTTGCGTGCTTTTCTCTCATCTGGGTTCGTGTATTTTCTCTTGTTTTGTAGTTTTTACATGGTTTATGCGTGGAGGATGAGGAAGAGATAGCTGGGTTGAGGAATGCTGAGAAAGAACAGAAAGAACGGACCAAGAATTTAGGTACTCGCTTGTTAAATTTGTTTTTCTGATATTATAGGTTCCATGTGTTTGTTTATCATTGATGCTCATTATGCCTGCAACATAAAAATGTTACTATATGTTATAAACCAAAAAAAAAAAGGGTCCAATTTTAATGTTTAAGGCTATGAACCTGACCTTTCATTTCATGATCAATCAGCAAAGGTCATTTCGTTGAGAAGTTGCTTAGAAACTATCAGTACTTAATCTCTTGGACTTGCCCTGTAGTTTATGCCTGAAGATTTCAAAAGGAGAATGATCTTTTTCTTTCTTAATGGACATGCTAATTGTTTATTATGGCGGCAGCTGATTGTTTATTCTGTTTGTGTTTGAGCTGACACAAAGCAGATTCTGATTGCAAACAATCGTTGAAAAGTTTGGACAGAATATCCAAAACTATGTGAGTATTCTATTAGAGTTTTTTTTTTTTTTTCCCAACTCAATTTGTCATATTTGGTTGTTCGAGTACCTATAGAATCTGACTTTGTCAAATCAAAATTCTGTGTTAGAATATGTACAGATCATTTGTCACATGTGATGATCCGAAAGGAGTTGTAGAATGCGGGACAATTAGAAAATCCAAGAGTGGTTCCCACAAAATGGAGCATAAGATCATAAGCCATAAAGCACAGAAGAACTCCAAAGCAGATTTTACAGTCATAGCTGAAAAGAAGGAGCTGGTCTCTAAAGGGATTGTGGAAGAGTGTCGCACTCCATCTTCATTTCAACTCCTGGAGGTCTCAAGAGGAGCTCAGAAGCTAAACCAGACGGTCAACTCGTGGTCTAAGGGGTTGAGCTCTGATGGCCAGTCTAAAGATATTGCAAAAGATTTGTTGAAAGGGGCTCTTGATATGCAGGAGTCTCTCCTCATGCTTGGCAAGCTGCAAGAAGCCTCGCATTATATGGCCCAGCTGAAAAGGCAGAAGGAGAAGCTAAAAAGAGGAAAAATTAATGAAGTTGGGGCTGAAATGATGAATTCACATCAATTTGGTGATCAACATTGCCAGACAGGATTTCAGAGGCCACTGCGTTCTGCTGATGGTTCTTCCAATTATTGCATTGATGAGCTTAAGAAAGCAATCACAGATAGCCTTGGTAGGCATAATTTGCTCCCAAACAGAACCACCCAAGAGAAGACGTCCAAAGAGAGGAGAAAGAGGGACTCAGCTTCAGATGTCCCCACCACAAGCTCAAGCCAGTCATCAGTGGCTCAGTCTAGCAGCAGTCATTCTACTCGCTCCATATCTACAGCAGCTCCTCCAAGGAAGGAAAACAGTCCAAATCTGATTGCCAAGCTAATGGGTCTCGAAGACATGCCATCAAAACCATTGCAAAAACATCCACACAAACAGTTGGATGTTGAGACTGATTTAAGTCGGAGGAGGCCAAGGCCAGTCTTTGATATTGAAATGCCGAAGGTAAGGAAGCCTCAACCCTTAATGCATAAGGTACGTCCAGAGCAAAGAGCACTGAAGGATATTCTTGAAACCATGCAATTTAAAGGACTCCTGAAATGCCATTCAGTCAAAGAGCTCAAGTCCTGGTCCCATCACTCCAGAGAAACGCATACCAACCGGAGGTCTAGTAATTATATTTCACCTATTGTACTAATAAAACCTGGTATGTCATGCTTCGAATCAAAAGAGGTGCCTGCATCAATGGTTTGGAAAATGGGAACATTGAAAGCTGAATTGATGCCACGAAAAGTGAAGTTAAAAAAAGGACCCGAACCTGATACTAGATCAGTAGACTACAAAGAGGGGCCACGAAAAGTGAAGTTAAAAAAAGGACCCGAACCTGATACTAGATCAGTAGACTACAAAGAGGGGCCACGAAAAGTGAAGTTAAAAAAAGGACCCGAACCTGATACTAGATCAGTAGACTACAAAGAGGGGCCACGAAAAGTGAAGTTAAAAAAAGGACCCGAACCTGATACTAGATCAGTAGACTACAAAGAGGGGACTTATAGCACTAGCAAAATGCTGCGTAAAACAGAAGTTGATAAGCCTACAAACAAAAGGCTGGGCGAGGAGGAAGGAACTAAGGACCGCAGAGAGGTAGTTGTGATACCAGAAGAAAAAGATATCAAAACAGCTGTCCAGGACGACGTTGCTGTTCGTGAAAACAAAGGGAATGCAGAGCTGGAACCCGAAGAGACTTTAATAAAACCGCTAAGCAAGGACCGAGTAGAGGACCTCAAAGATGCAGTTCCAAGAGCAGAAGAGCAAAGAATTAAGACAAAATTGAAGGGTTCGTCCAAGTTGAAAGCTAGCTGTCCTGTAGCTAACCAACAACAGAAAAAAGAGACAGCTGTGAAAAAGGTAAATAAGACTCAGAGGGTGGATACTGATAGCAGGAAACGGATAGAGACAGAGGTTGTGAAGCCTAAAAATGTATCAAGATCTCAAGAACAAGCCAAGGTAATCTCAACAAAGACAAGAATTGAAAATGGATCAATGACTACAAAGACTCAAGTTACTCAACAGAGCAGTACGAATCAAAAATCCATCTTGAAACACACAACAAAAACCACAGTTCACAGTCCTAAAGATCATAGGCGGAAGATAGTTGCTGAGCCTACAACAGAAAAACCAACTGTATATCTTCTTACATTTCATCTTCATGATGCTAAACAATCTTTCATTTCTGCACTCTTTACAGTCTTACTTGCATAAATGCATGCTCAGCTATTTATATTTTAAACTGCAAAAATAGGGTCCAGATCATGTGTGAGAAGAAAGTTCAAATTTGAAGTTTGGCACACATAATAAGTTTCGAAGATGACCACGTAATGCTGTGTTATAATGATATCTTTCATGCAGAATGAGGAACTAGGATGCAAAGAAGACGACAAAAAGAATGGCCACAAATATGATGCTGATCCTGTTTCCAAAGTAACCAACACCCCACTTGCTGATCAACCATCTACAGAGGAGGAAGCAAATGTCTTAAAATTTCATAATGAAGGTAAATTGGTGAACTCCATTTCAGGATCCTGTTAAGTACGGAAATCCTTGTGATATAAGTGCATTTACATGAGTTTTGCACACGATAATTGTTCATGTTCATGTTCATCTCAACTTATGTTCAACGTAAACATGTACATCAATGACTGATTCTTTCTCCACATCCACTGATATCGTCACTGAAAACTCGGGTTGGTTGGGGGTAAGGTGGGAATAGATTAGTGATTTCAATCTTAAGAAAAAGAAAACTGCAGGTAAATAGTTGTTTTAACAAGCCTTGTGGTAATGTGGTAAAGGTATCATTCCTAAGAACCTGCTGTCGCTGGTAGGATGAAGCTTGTACCAATTATCTTCACCATCCTAGAAATGGTCTCAGGAAAATTATTGTTCTCAACAAAAAGACAGTGGAACCAAGAACTAAAATCAAAAGGCTGTAATAGTGCAATGTGTTCACAATAACTGGAAAAAAAATATTCACAAGGTTATTATACTATTCCTACCTCTAGTATCAAGAATAAACATCGAAACATTTTTGTGTAAATATATAAGTTATTATTTTGTCTGATTGTTCTGTCACATTGATTTTTTTTTCCTCCCTTCAGAACATTGCAGTGACAGCCAGAGTTCTCCCTGCAATCATACATTGGTGACATCTGAACATGAGGAAGTTGCAAAATCTCCTGAAGAAGCCAACAATGATACGGGTCTCATGGGAGGAGATGGAGAAAGTTCCAAAAACGGAATCCAATTGAATGCTTTACTTTTGAGCAGTCCATTGTTTCTCACTCGTGCAGAGGAGCTTTTCGATCTCAATATGAATAGCCTCGAGACCTTTCCAACATCTGGCATCTGCGATTATCGAATAGCCAGCATGGAACTTTCTTTAGATTATGCTAATGAATACATTGAACGTAGAAGCTGTGTAGATTCACAAACAAGGCACCCGCTGTTACAAACTTGTACAGGAGATTCAAGACTTAATCTTTCTTTAGAGGAGCTGGTGGAGGAAGTTGTTAATGGAGCTAAGACTCTTACTAGTTATTGCAAGCTTGGCTTGTACAACCCTCCAGATGAAACGTATGGGATACTGGAAAAAGATATAAGATGTGGATCAGGAGTAGTGAGTGGAACATGGGATTTGGGGTGGAGGAACGGATTTTCTGTGGATGAAGCTGAGCAAACTGTGAATGACGTAGAGAAGTTGCTTATAAGTGAGTTGATTGAGGAGATGTTTACATGATTAGAGCTCTTAACCCTTTATGTTAAGCAAACTTCTCCAGCTTTGCAGGTCTGAGAGGTAAGAATTCAGAAGTTGTCAGCGTGAGTAAGCTAAGCTAGGTAGGGGCTTGCTGTTTATATGGCCATCTAATTAACATACAAACATTTAGGATTTAAGCTAGGAGGTGGTATGGTCATCCAAAAATGTTTTGGGGCAGAAAGACCACCACATGTGACATATACACAAGTAAACTCATGAAACCAAGCTTTTCAGGATAAGTAGTTGATTCCTTGGGTATCTGTCTTGAATCCTGTTGATCAATTTATATGCATTTGCTTTTCTAATGTTGACAAAGGACTATGATTCTTGATTCCTTGTCAAAGGAGAAACTGTAATAATCTAAATTTGGTCTTAATTTTTATAAAATGCATGTCTACAATCAGCTATTTTTATGTCAAAAATTATAAGAATTGGATTGATTCATCAACTGTTGTATACAACCATTGTGTTTTGCATTGCATTTTAGAAATTCTTTAAAAAAAATTAAATTTTTTATTTTTTATTTTAAATTAATATTTTTTAATGTTTTCATATTATTTTGATGTGCTAATATTAAAAATAATTTTAAAAAAATAAAAATATATTATTTTAATATATTTTAAAATAAAAAACACTTTAAAAAACATTCATTTCTATTTTATTTTAAAAGCAAATAAATTTCTTTTTAAAGTTATAACTAACACTAATCAAACACTATTTTTAAAAGAAAAAAATTAAAATCAGTTATGCTTTCAATCCATGAAACTAATATCTAGTTAAATTGTTTAATTTGATTTAATCCTCCGTTCAATCCACGATTAAAGAGAGCATGTTCTCTACATGTGATTTTCATGATTAAACGGGTTCCATCTTGATATGAAATTTTTAACTCAAAAACTGATGGCACATGGAGCAACAACTAATAATTGGGATCTATACAATTTATCCTAAAAAAATAGTAAATTAATAATGTTATTAATAGAATACAGTGATCATGAATCCAAATCTGATTTAAAATTGGAAATAATATTAGTTGACTTTTTCTATATTACTTTCGTGCATGTTTATTATTGTAAAAATTTATTAAAATAATTTTTTATTTTTTTTATTGTTGATATTATCATAGTAAAATCATTAAAAAATATAAAAAAATAATTTAATACTTTCTTGTAGTAAAAATGCTTTTAGAAAACACCTAAAAAAAGGCTACTACACTCCCCCTAAATGGGACTTACATGGTCCTCTAGCCTATGTTCACAATTTTTTTATATAGAAAATGAGAAGCAAGTAGATTGCCTAAACTTTCAAGTGAGCATATTAAGATTAATAAAAAAAAAAAACTAAAATAAAAGAGTTGTGTTAAACAGTGTAAAATATTGTATCTCTATATTCATTTTCATTGTAACAGTGAAATGATATATTTTTTTAAGAAAAAAATTTAGCCTAATAATTAGGGATAATACAGCCTTTTACTTTTTTTTGCACAATAAATTGACTAGCTTACACTTTAATGAAAAAAAAAAATATGAAACTAGTTTTTAAGGGTTCTTTAGCTTTTCATTGCCTAAAGCATGATAAAATAACTCAAATACTTTCAAATTAAAAAATTATATTTTCATCATGTTTTATATATAAAGTAAGAAGAGAAGTAAATTGGTGTTTTAATATATATAAAATATTATTTAAAATTAAAAAGTGAATGGCACTTGCAATATACATATTAATAATGGAGTATTTATGTGTTTTTCGAGTAGGGCATAACTTGTCGTTTAATTGTCAAATGATAACTTTTAGAGCGGTGTTAGAATCATCTCAGTAGCATCTTAATTCCTAGATAGTTTGTGTGGACAATGGACTTTTGATATAGCATCGATTTCTCATTTTTCTTTTCTTTTTCTCTGTTTACTTTCACGTCTGGCTCTTAATTTTTTCATAGGAACCCTTGTATTTATTTTTCCTTCAAATTTGGTCAATGTTTTTTAATTATTATTTATATTATTGGAGTTATTTATAAATTTAGAATTTATTTCAATTTCATCATCCTTTAATTTTTTTCATCTATTACATTTTGTCTTTATTATTTTTATTGCAATTTGTTTTTTTAGATATTTTTTTTTACTATTTCAATTTTTTTATTAAACTTTATCCTCATTATATTTATTGTTATTGTGTTTATTCTTTGGCAAATTTTAGAAATTGGTTTTTATTATTTCATTCTTCAACATTAAATTGATTGAGAATTGAGATTCTTGATGAAACTCGAATCTAAGATCTCACAATTTATGAGATTAAAAGATTAATTACGGTTTAAGATATTTACTCAGGTTTTTTTAAAAAAAAACACATGTTTTTATAGTTTCATCCTCTAGCATTTATTTTATTAGAGGTTGAACTCCGTTATTTTTTTCTATAGAATTGTTCACTAATTTTAAAATGACTCGGGTTATCTTGGATCTTTTTATTTTTTGTTCTTTGTTAAGTTTAGTATTTTTTTAAAGAATTTTTTTTGTATTAAACTAAATTAATTAATTACATATAAGCTTGGAATGTTTACTTTCTGATATTTTATTTGGTTTGTTTTTTAGGTCGTTGCTCTGGCAATGCATGCGGTCTCTCTTGATGTCATCATGTAGCCTATCATACTAGTATTAGAACTCCCTCAATGATCTTTATCTAATGGGTAAGCATAATCCATAATGAAGCAACGATGAGTTGTCAATGAGTTTTTCTTTCTTATATTTTTAGTATAATACTGTTAGTTTATTTTTATAGTTAATTATTGTTATTTTTTTTATTTCATTTATTGTGAATGTTTTTTAATCATATTATTAAATTAATCAAGTTTATTAAATTTAGTTAAGTTAATGACTCATGTTTCAGATTTTTCTTACTTCTTTAAAAATGTTAATATCGCGTGAACATCTTATCATATTAAGAGAAACTTAACTTGGCATGTGACATAATGCGGATACCAATCTAGTTATTTTTACAAAACTCATTATTAATTATTAACAACACTAAAAAATTTGATCTAGATTTGAGACCAAATCTCTTGCTTGCACTATTCTCTTCATATGAGCAATGCAAACATGTTTTCTTTTCTTTTCTTTAATGGTTTTATTTTTATTTTATTTTATTCTTTAATAATTAGATAATTTATTTTAGTTCTATAAGGTTATTACAGCTTCAAACAAATATCTTGATATTTAATTAGTGATCAATTTTATAAGTATCTATTTGTATTATTATATAATTAAGTAAAAATAGAGTTTAAAAAACATAATTATTAAAACCAATCAATTCAATATGTCATTGTCGCAATATTAAAAAAGAAAAAAAAATATCATCTTGAAATTATTTTAAAGTCACTATATATTTTTACCGGTATCTAGATAGTTTTTAGATCTGTGAAGTCAACTGGGTTATATTGGGATAAAAAAATAATTTTTTTAAAAAATAGAGTTATTAAACCCAAAAAAATCCATAATCCGTTTTATGAATTTAATAAATTAAGTCGTGAAGTTTCGGTTGATTCACTATATCATTATCTTAAAAAAAATTAAAAAAAAAGAAAGATAACTTCTTTAAATATTTTTAAAAATTAAATTATATTTTCATCAATTTTTTAAGTTTTTTTTTAACTCATTAAATTGATTAAGTCATATAAAAATAATTCTTATATGATTTAGTTAAAAACTTCAACTATGCAAAAACTTAAATTTGAAAGCTTCAATATTAATTAGCTAGGTTAAATTTAATAATAGTATTAAAAAATTTCTTATAGCCTACACATTGTTTTTATATTTAAAAATGTTTAATCCAGCCGCAACATGTAAAAAAATTACCAAAACTTGGAATATCTCTATGAATGGAGTCTTGAGATGAAGAGCTATCACCCTCGAAAGACTAAGACATTAGACAAACTCAGTGTCTTATTGGGGTGGTTTTACTGTAGGGCTAACCTTTTGCTGGCCACGGACCCAGCATTTTCTTTAATGGTCAACACCATAAATAAAAGCTTTCAATTCCCTTTATTTTATTTTAATTTTTTTTTAGCTATCTACTATTTCATATTACATTATAATTGCATTACATTACAGAAAAAACTAATAAAGCTTGATATTTCACTTTATCAATCCATAATACTCATAAGTTTTTTTTTCTAATTTTATCATTAAACAATATTTTTTTTAATTACATATTTTTATAACCAAATTGTTAAAACTTATTCAAGAAAGACAAGATTGAAGGAAAGAGAACAAAGTGTAAAATAAGAAGTATGTTATCTAGTGAACGAATGTAGTCTACTTCTTTTTGAAAAATAAAAAAAAAGGTGGAGTTCCACCATTTAGAAAAAATAAAATAAAATAAAATAAAAAGAGAGAGAGAAAAGGGTCATCCATGTGAGCTTAGTCTTATAGAGCTATGCATGTCTGCTGGAGCGGGTGTCAGATCTGCTCCTTTGTATTTTCTTTTATTATTATTTTAGATTTAAATGCACAGTAAAAAAATTAACATTATATTTTAATTATTATTCAAATAATATTACATATTTTCATGGAATTGTTAACTATTTTTCTTCTCAGCTATTATGAGCATAATATGAAAAAAAAATCTCTTGAATATTTAATTAATATAGAATTCAGTTTTAAAATATTTTAAATAATTTCTTATATATAATTTTATTTGAATTGAGTATTGAAACAAGGGCAGTCTTACGTAGGAATAAGCCTAGAAATTTCCGAAATGGCATCATCCATTCTTTGAGATTTCAACCCTTCCTGTTATCGAATGGTAAACCAACCAGTGTAAAACTAAAACTAAAAATAAATAGGATTATCATAAGAAAATTCAGGAATCAAGTAAGTGAAGCTTCTTCTCATGTAATTGTCGAGTGTATTTAGAAAACTAAAAAATTATTTTATTTGAGTAAAATACTTAAACAAGAAGAAGAAAATTATTAAACTCTGAGAGGTAGTTTAGTTGGTTGAATTTTAAATTTGTTCTTCAATAATTATAAATTTGACTTCTTTCAAAATCATTAGAAGTTTACATGGTCATTTATTTTTAAATCAATAAGATTAGTCAAGATATGTATAAATTTATCTAAACACTCATGTTAATAAATAAATAAACAAATAAAAAAAATCATTACTTACACATATTATACCAGATATTAAAATGCATGGGATATTCATTATAGATGCCCAACATTATTCACATACATACAAATATCGTGGATGACCTTGTTTATTTTTGATAATTTATTTTCATCCTCAAGGTTTTATTTTTAACTATTTGAACCTAATTTAAAATCAA